CCACCAGCCACAGATAATGACACACAAACGCACACGCTTTCCTTAGCTCTGCCCCCGGAAGCTGCCGGAGCAGGTGACCGCCCTTATATGGTAAGAGCCCCTGATCACGTGACCACAAAATGGTGGAAGCTGTGAGCTGTTGGTGAGCCGAGCATCTCTGTCGAGAGGGAGGCTGGAACCAGGAAATAGGCTCCACGTCCATGCTCTGAGACGCGGGAGGACAGCCACTCCAGCAGAGTGAGTACGCCGCTTTGATAAAGTAAAGATATAAAAAGCAGAGGAGGAGGTGTACGTTCTGTTACCCCCCCCCATCGCCCCCCCCCTCTCCCTTCATAGCCAGCAGACAGGAAGCAGGAGAGAGAGAGAGAGGGAGGGGCTGCTGTCATCAGCACTGAGGTCCTGTGCTGTGATGTGGAAGCAGCTCAGCATCCTCCATGAAGGATGCACAGCCCAGGAGGCTGTTTTTCTCTGGTCCTGCTGTAAATGTGTGTGTAAATATGTGTGTGTAAATGTGTGTGTGTAAATTTGTGTGTGTCCCAGAGTGGGAACCACAAATAGGTTTTAACCGACAAAATGAGGTCTCTTTTGGAAAGTGAGGACATTTTCCTGGTTATCACTTCATTGTGTGTGTGTGTGTGTGTTTGTGTGTGTGTGTGCGTGTGTTTTTGTGTATGTGTGTGTGTTTGTGTGTGTGTGTGTCTGTGTCCTTGTTTCTGTAGCAGAGTGAGGACCACAAACAGGTTTTAACCGACAAAATGAGGTCTCTTTTGGAAAGTGAGGACATCTTCCTGGCTTCACTTCATTGTGTGTGTGTATGTGTGTGTGTGAGTGTGTCTGTGTGTGTGTTTGTGTGTGTGTTTGTGTGTGTGTGTGTGTATCCTTGTATCTGTAGCAGAGTGAGGACCACATATAGGTTTTAACCGACAAAATTAGGTCTCTTTTGGAAAGTGAGGACATTTTCCTGGTTATCACTTCATTGTGTGTGTGTGTTTGCTGTGTGTGTGTGTGTGTGTTTGTGTGTGTGTGTGTATGTGTGTTTTTTTGTGTGTGTGTATGTGTGTGCGTGTGTGTTTGTATGTGTGTGTGTGTCCTTGTTTCTGTATCAGAGTGGGAACCACAAATAGCTTTTAACTGACAAAGTGAGGTCTTTTTTCCTAGTCCTCACTTTATTGTGTGTGTGTGTGTGTGTGTGTTTGTGTGTGTGTGTGTGTGTGTCCTTGTTTCTGTATCAGAGTGGGAACCACAATGAGGTTTTAACCTACAAAGTGAGGTCTTTTTTGGAAAGTGAGGACATTTTCCTGGTTCTCACTTCATTGTGTGTGTGTGTATCTGTGTATGTGTGTGTGTGTGTGTGTGTGTGTGCGTGTGTGTGTGTGCGCGCTGTGACGGCCACATCCGCCGAGCAGGAATCAAACATTCAGCGTTTTTCCCCGTTTCAGCCGCTCCTGTAATCCCATTCCTGCCGTTCCACAGAAACTCAGCCCACGGGGAAAGAGGCTCTCTCTTTCTCTTTCTGTTTTTTTTTTCATGCCAGTGAGCACGCGTCACATGACTCGCTGTGAATTTGCATCCGTTCCCAATCTGTGCTCAGGCAAACGGGCAGTCTCTGGATCTGAATCAGCACTGGGCAGCGAACGGTGGAACGAGCTTGTCGTGATCCCCCCCCCCCTCACCCATCCACTCCGGAAGGACGGATTACCCACATGGGAAGACGGCCTTCTAACCCTCATATTCCTCACATATTCCTCACTTCCCCTCCTCCCCCCCAAACACTCTCGCCTTCACTCCCCCAGCTGTCTCTTCACTATGGAAATCCATTTGACTTGTAAAATCAATGCACTTTAAAGACACGAGAAAAAAGAGCTCTTGTACTTCATCCATACAGCTTTGCTGTTGTTGATTCCATCGATCTGCCGTCCTCACAATACATCACCGTCTATTAGCTCTGTATTCATACAGTGTTTGATGGGGTCTAAAATCCTCCCCCAGGTCCTCCTGTGGATGGACCCGGCACCAGAAAGCAAAATGACTTCTGAGGGGCCTGACAACCGACCAGGTGGGAATGACCCGAGCAGCATGAGAGTCTAAGAAGACCACCGGGGGTTTGGATTTTAATTAACGTCTCATTTGGGTTTTCAGTCCCTCCTACCTCGCTGCCCCTGCAAGGAGGCTCCTCCCAGAGAAAGAAGCTCTCGGCCCCCCGGATCAGCCTGTCTCTGGACCAGAGTGAGGACGATCTGGGGGAGACGCCGGATGACCTGGACATAAACGTGGACGACCTGGACACCCCGGACGAGGGGGATTACCTGGACTACACGGACCATGAGATGGACTGGGAAGGTGGGTTTTTTATGGGTTTGTGTGCTCTTTCCCAGACTTTTCCAGGAAAGAGCACTGGGGGAATGTCTGGTGTGTAGTCATGTCCTGATTACCTATTGTGTACACCTGGGGTTCCCCTCCCTCATGTGTTTAAATAGTCCTCGTTTCCCCTTGTCCTGTGCCAGTGCGTTTTCGTCACTTTTCGTCACTTTGTGTTTGTGTCCTTTGTTCCTCTCCACGTAAGGATTTGATTTTTTGCACTTTTGCCACAGTCTTGTTTCTTGTGCCATAGCCTTGTCTTTGTCACAGTCTTGCCACGGCATATTCTTGTTAACTTTATTTTGTATTTTTGCCATAGTCTTTAAGGGGGGACTCAGATGCGGAGAGCGTCGGTTTTCCAAGGGGTTTATTTGAACAGAAAACGCACTCAAACGGAGTGGATGCAGACAAAGTTAAAAACAAGGCTGTGAAAAAACTATGAACAAAGTATCAAAGCAAGATTAACAAGGCTATGGCAAAAAGTACTAAAAGTAAACAAAACTGTGGCAAAAGTATCAAAACAAAATTAACAAAACTGTGGCAACGTATCAAAACAAGACTATGGCAAAAATACTAAATGAAGTTAACAAGACTATGGCAAGGCAAGGCTGTGACAAAAACAAGGCTATGGCACAAGAAACAAGACTGTGGACAAAGTATAAAAATCAAAACAGAGGAACAAAGGACACGAACACAAAGTGACGAAAGGTGACGAAAACACGCTGGCACACGACAGGGGAAACGAGGACTATTTAAACACATGAGGGAGGGGAACCCCAGGTGTACACAATAGGTAATCAAGACATTCCCCCAGACGTGACAGCACTCACACAGGCTGGGCTTTTTTCTCTCGTCCTCAGATCCCGCCGCAGCCAATAGGAGCGGGACGAGCCAGTCCTACGACACGATCCCCACCTATAGCGCGGAGGAGGAGCGCCAGGACGGGAAACTGTGGAGGACGGTCATCATCGGGGAGCAGGAGCACCGCATCAACATGAAGATCATCGAGCCCTACATGAGAGTCGTCTCCCACGGAGGTGACCAGGAACTTTTTACCCAAAAAACAAAACAAACGCAGTATCACGTCTGGGGGAATTTTTGGTGTTTTGTCTTGTCTCCATGGTTGTCATGTCATTTCCTGTTTTATTTTGAAAAGTCTCTCCTTGTCTGGTGCCACTGTGTACTGCCAGGAATGGGAACTCAAGGCAGGACTTGGCAAAAAAACTTTAATTGAACCAAAAGCGCACTCGCAAGGAGTGGAAGACAAGGAAAAGTATAAAAACGAGGTAGACAAAGCTATGAACAAAGTATCAAATAATAATCTCTCAAATGAGGCAGACAAAACTGTGAACAAAGTACAAAATATACTCACTCTGAAAAGAGGATAAAAAATTACAAAGTAAGAAAACAGGGTTCAAGGCATGGGTTAGGATTACTACGACTTGGTTAAGCTCAGTATGATGTGGGATGAAGACGAAGGACGAAACCCACTGGCACCAGGAAGGGAAGGGAACCCCAGGGGAACACAATCGGGGAAGACAAGCAGTCATGTGACACACAGGGGAGTGAAAGAGACCTGAAACAAGGGGATGTACCTTTCAAAATAAAACAGGAAATGACAAGACAACCATGGATACAGGACAAAACACCTAAATTCCCCCAGACGTGACACGCAGTCCAACCTTGCAAATCGTCTCGGTGCACCTTAAGAAAATGCACGTGTATGGATGCATTCTCATTTTTTAGGGGGCCTAAACTTGCCTCTGATACGCCTCCTATTTTAGGGATGTCCCGATCCAGCTTTTTGCACTTCCGATCTGATACCGATCCCAGCCTATCAGATAATGTATTAAAGTTTAAAGTTATTTATTTACTTACTTAGTTGTCAGACTCATGTTGAACAATTCTGCTCTTATTTGATATGCTACATGACCACCTTCCTGCTGGAAAAACTTAGCGCCATTATGGCGGCTTTCAATATGGCGGCCATTTTTCTGAAAAACCCAATAATATGGGGCGTCTCACCTGATACTTGCTCGGGTGTTCAGACATGTTAGTTTCCCTTTTTATTTCAGAAATAAAGCAGTGACTTTCGACTAGGAACTTTTCTTAGTCATGCCGATGCTAACAAAAGACGAGCGCTAGCAGAGCTTTGACCTTTGACCTTTGGATGAGACACGCCGAGCATTCTTCTCTCTGCTCCGCGCTGCTTAAGTGGAGAACAGACATCCCATTCAAACTGAGACGTCTGTCACTGAAAAATCAATATCAGAAGCTCCGCCGTCTACAGAAAAGACCCTCTGATGAGTGGGCTGGCGAACGAAAGGAAATTACATTAATCTGAAAAGTAGTGAGAGGAAACGGGACGAGGAGACAGACAGACAAAAGGAACTCAGGCTGCCGGATAAACAGAACAAAAGACAGAAATAAGACAGCAATCAAGACGGGGGCACAATCACGCTGGGCTCTTACTACGCTTTTCTGTTTTTTATTATTCTCCTCCAGGTTACTACGGCAACGGAGCGAATGCCATCATCGTGTTTGCCGCCTGTTTCCTGCCAGACAGTGACCGCGAAGACTACCACGAAATAATGGAGAACCTCTTCCTGTGAGTATGTCTCTTTTTTAGCTCCAGAACGGAAACGGAAACCCCTTAAAAAAGAAGGGAGAAAGCCACCAATTAGCACCAGGCACATGTCTGCTGAGGTTTCTGTTTCTTTTTAGCTCTCCAGGTATATTACATAGCTTAAAAGAGTTGAGAAATGGCCATGTAGCTGCTCTGCCCCGGCTTCCATTGCTGGAAACAAAAAGGCATATTTCCAAATTCTCTGATATGTTGTATTTTAGTAAACTTTCACAGCCCACAATAACCAGGCGCCATCTAACCTGAAGAGGCTGGTAACCCCCCCCCCACCGTGAGCTCTTTGCTCTCAGGATTTCAGCTTTTAAAGGAGGACTGTGGGATGCAGAGCTGGCTGTTCCCAGCCCCCCTGTCAGTCCGGGTCAGGATCACCAACCTCTGTAAGGGCAGAGCTTAAAATGGATCTGCTTTCCTAAAATGTCCGTGCACTGCTTGGAAAAACGGGCTCCGTGTCTGGCATACTTGTGAGACTTTTCGGAAGTCTTTCACAGCTCTTTTTGCCGGTGACCTTCTGAGCCAGAAGATGGTGGACTGTGGTCAGAAAGGGACAAACATGGCCTGCAGGAATGATCAGGTTGTTCAGGCTGTTTTTTCACATTTTCAGGCTGTTCATGCCTGAATTCTGACCTGTGGCAGCTGAAATCCAGAGTCAGAGCAGAAGATGTTTCTCCAGCCTTTTATTGTCCAGTTCTGGTGGTTCTGAGTGAACTCTGGTGTTCCTGATCTGAGCTGTCAGGAGTGGCCTGTGTGCCTATTATATATGTATTTATCAATACTTTATCACATGAAAAGCTGGTGATTACTCCTGGGGGAAACATTAATTAGTTCTATCTACTAGTGCAGGGATGGGCAACTCCAGGCCTCAAGAGCTACTGTCCTGCAGGTTTTAGAAGTTTCCCTGCTTCTAAACACCTGATTCAGAAAAAAATGATCTCTTCTGTGAATCAGGTGTGTAGAAGCGGGGAAACCTCTAAAACCTGCAGGACAGCGGCTCTTGAGGCCTGGAGTTGCCCACCCCTGTACTAGTGCATTTTTAGAAGCATTGGATTCTCCAAAAGGCCTCCTGTTGGTGTAGAAACCCCTCCAGATTTTGAATAACAAACCCTTAAATTGGGGATTTAGATACATCCAGTCTGCATGCATTTGGAACATATATGGCTAAAAGCTGAAAAGTGTAATCGGGTCAGGGGCTCCTCACATTGTTCGGACAAACTGCGCACAGCTTTGCTGTTTGCATCCTAGGAGGAGGACGCTGGAGGGGCTTTTCAACGTGTTTAGGACGAATTTAATCCACGGACATTGCTTTATTGTTTGCATCAGAAGCAAATCTTTCCTAATAGAATCCCGGAAGTGAAGCCGGGTCCCTCGGACCTGTTCTGCTGGCAGGCTTCCACCTCCTGCCTGGATGCCGGGGTTTCGGATCCCGCAGGCTGTTCTGTGACAGATAATGAGTAAGCCGGCATGTCTGAGAGCTTTGGATGGAAATGAGAGAAGGTAAACTCCAGTGTCTGCAGCGTCCGATGCCAGATGGCTTAAAGACTGAGTCCACGCGAGGAGGAGAAGCTGTGGCTTTGCACGGTTTGCCGGTTGGAGATGAAGCTCGTAATCACGAGACGAACGGTGCGATTCGATTAAAAGGACAGGAGGGGAAGACGGAAATCAAAGCCAGTCGAGTCAAAGAAGCCATTGAGGAAAGTAGCCGAAGAGATTTTCAACTTTATTTCGCAAAGTTCCCTGCTGACTGAGGGGACGGAGAGGAGGTGGGCGGGAGGAACCCAAGCCAGATAACAGCTTCTCCAGCTATGGATCGGGGAATTGGTTTTTTAGAAAGGTGCTGGTCTGATTGAGTTTGTGAGATTGATGTAAAAGAAGGACAGAAATTCAAAGCGAGGCACGACGTCGGCAGAGGGAGATTTGAAAAGGCAGCTTGTTGAATTAGATATGTCTGAATTGTCCTCCTTCAGGTTGAAAACCAGAGCTGCTTTCCCGCCCGAGTGAATGCCCGCTGATTTTTCTTACTCGGATATAAGGCTATAATTATATTTTTTGTGGTTTAGTTTCACTATCTCCGTCTGAATCTTCCAAATAAATGCACAAATGAGCTTAAGGGAACAGTCAAATTTCAGTTTGATTCTCTGTGGAGTGCCTGCAAAATGAGCCATTGTAACCACAAAAACATGCAGTTACAAGATGTTATTACGGTTTCAAATTGAAAGATCCAAAGGATTTAGAAGAGGGTTTTTATAAGGCCCCGGTTTGTATGATTTTTTGGTTAAACTCAGAAGTCTTTGGTCAGAAATGGCTAAAAACTGTGGACCCGTGAGGATCCCAAACAACGCATCCCAGCCGTTGGATGAATTTTCATTAAATTAGGTTCAGGTATTTTTGTTGTAAAAGGATTAATCTAATGACTTCAGGGATCCATTCATTGTTTCCTCTAGTGCCATCAGAGAAATGAAAATTATGGTTTTAATAATACTTTTAAAAATAAAGCATAAAAGGGATTACCATGAAATTACTATAATTTTAGAGATTCATCTTCCCCAGAGGACGATTTGTGTAAATCTAATTCGATTCGTGCGCAATGCAGTAATTTGCATCCGCTCTCGTGCTAATTACCACGGTTACCGTTAAGCTCAGTGTTAAGGATTCGGCTCTGAGCTCCGAGATGGCAGCTGGGTTTTGAAGTGCGGCCGGGCGCCGGCCCTTTGGGGGCCTGCTGGGGCCCACCCGGCCCAGCCCAGAGAGCTCAGAGTGCTTTTACACAATATCATATACAGCAGTGTTTTTCAACCTTTTTTGATCCAAGGTACATTTTTTCATTGAAAAAATCACGAGGCACACCACCAACCAAAAATGTCAAACAAATCTGTAGCCGCCTATAGTAACACTATAGTTATTCTTATCTTATTCTTATATTATCTTAAGTGTCTTGAATAGGAATCAAATAAACACAAAAATGTATTTTTATCATATTTTATATTTCTTCTTTCAAATTGCTCTTAACATGTCCACTTCAATATACAAAATTATATACAAAATCTAGTCATAAGGACTTATTACATGATTACGCCACCAGTCACTTGTACAGCACAGACACTCAAAAATAACATATTATTTGCAGAAAATTAATTCCTTATCAAAAAATCTTTTTAGACCAATTAGGTGAAATAGGATGATTTTCTACGGCACACCTGACCATCACTCGCGGCACACTGGTGTACCGAGGCACAGTGGTTGAAAAACACTGATATACAGTAGATGTTTGAAATTGTGAAATATATTTGTTTTTATGGAGACTGCCACTCATTAAGCCCCTTGAGGGTTTTTCGGGCAGGTGTCCATCACATTTTTTTTTCTTTAGTGAAACATAATACTGTTTTTATGTTTTTGTTGTGAAAATAAAATAAATAAATAACTAAATAAACTAAATAACTGTGTGTAGCTACGTGATCAGCACGCTGGAGCTGATGGTGGCCGAGGACTACATGATCGTGTACCTGAACGGAGCCACGCCCCACCGGAGGATGCCCGGACTGGGCTGGCTGAAGAAGTGCTATCACATGATTGACCGCAGGTGGGTCCTTTTGTCCGCCTTTTACTGCCTCTGTAACTCTGTTTGCATTTGGAGAGGGAGATGTGAGGACTGGGTGTGAAGCTTCAAAGTGAAGGCAGATCTGTCTTCTGATCTTGTGACACATTGTTTTCAGGCTCAGGAAGAATCTGAAATCCTTCATTATCCTCCATCCATCTTGGTTTATCAGGACCGTTCTGGCAATTACCAGGCCGTTCATCAGGTAAAAAAAAAAAGATAATTCAAAAGTAGAAATATGGTTTCAGACTGTTGCTTTAAATGATCATAGAGGCTGTAGTTCCACTGATTAAAATCTATTGAATAAACAATGCAAATTACAATGACACAAATGACTAAAGATAAATATTAATGGGTTAGTTTTGTCCTTAAATATCAACTTGATTCCTTTTGTGATCTATGAAGAGTTTTTATGAGACCAATAGTTTTTTTTTTTGTGGAAAAGCTGACAAACGTTGATTAAACATGATGTAAATGAATTGATAACCTTTATATGCCACATAAGCAGTATATTTTCTCATTATTATATTTTTCTTTCGTCTTTCTGTAAGTCTAAACAGCTGCTTTTTTCACAGTTTTTTTCACTAAAAGTTTTGTTTAAGTTTCCCTGTCTGCTTTTGTCAAGTCTTTTTCTGCCTCTCTGGATCAAATGGGATTCTCCTTCATTTGCATGTATTGAGATCGGCCTTGTATCGGAGGGAGTGTCCAGCTTGGCCTGCTTTCAAAAGAATTCAATAAGATACTATAAAGACTGCTCAATTAATGCAAAAATGAATAAAAACTTTGGCATTAATCCAGTTTAAGCAATAATGGAACCATAAATGGTCCAAATCTGTCATTTACACACACACAGTAGGGAGGCAGCAACTTTTGCTCATGAATAAAACCCACATTTGTTAGGGCCGGTTGTAATTTGGAGATGTTTATGACAATAAGCAGGAGCTGGGAGCTGGCCCTCCCCTCAGAGCTCTGTCAGCACATGTCATTCCTCTTTTCTCCTGATCCAGCGCCAAGTTCAGCAGTAAGATAAAGTACGTGAACACTCTGGACGAGCTGCATCGACTCATCCCGATGGACTGCGTCCAGATCCCAGAATGCATCATCAAGTGAGTGCCTCAGAGCCCCGAATTCAATTCAATTCAATTCAAATGTATTTACATAGCGCCACATCACAACAACAGTTGTCTCACAGCGCTTTCCAAACAGAGCAGCTCAAACTCTACTCTGAAGTTGATTACAGAAAACCCAACAATTCCCACCATGAGCAAGCACTAGGCGACACAGGGAAGGAAAAACTTCCTTTTAACATGCAGAAACCTCGAGGGAAAGAAAGAGGGAGCAGAGAGAGGCAGCCAACACAGTAACACACAGACTAGATGAAAAATGGCAATGATATTCAGTCATTCATTTCGTTTATTTTGAAACATGACATGATTTTACAATGCTTACATTAGAATACTTCCTAAACATACAGCATGTTTAAAAAAGGAGCAAGATGAAGCCTAAGCTTATTAAACCCTACCCCTCAACAGACGAGTATTTACAGAGTTTCCATCCTCGAGAACCACTGAGACCCAGGTCCTGGTCCTGGTCCTGGTCCCAGTTCAGGTTCCGGTCCAGGTCTTGACCCAGAACCAGGTCCTGGTCCAGGTTCTGGTATATTAATACTAATGAAATGGTAGAAGTTATGACAGCAATAACTCTATGCAGAGTAGTAGCCGAATCACAGCATCACCCGAACTCCCCCTCCAATCCCGACTCGCCCTGATGTCCTCGTACTCATTTCGCTTTCTGAACTCTCACCGCCAGACTCGACAAGGAGCTGAAGGAGGCGGCGGAGAACTCAAAGTAAGCACCTCTCGTTACCTCCTCCGTCCCTGTCACAGTTTTATCTGTGGCTGGAGATCTCATTTATCAGATGGTACACTTTGAAACCGGTCTCCTCTCTTGGACGAGGACCAGTTGGATCTGGTTATGGCTCCAATTACACAGGAGAGACACCAAAAAATTGCTTGAGATGCTAAACGCAACGCATTAATCTATTTTATTATCCCAGTAAAACAAACGAGCCCCTCTCCCTTTTTGCACGGTGATCTATTAGGCTGATAATAAGTGGGAAGGAACGGAGCTGGGGGAACTCCACACGCTAATCGCCGCCTGGCTAATTGTGCTCTGAATCATAAATCGCACGTGCCGTCGAGTTTCGCCGCGTGCGAGCGTATTGCGACAGTAAATTCTCCCGTAACAACCTCTCCATTTGTTTTTTTTTCTCCTGCTCCAGGATGAATAGTTTTCTGCAGGGGACCGAACCCACGATGGCAGCAGCACCCGACAGAGCGGAGTAAGTCCTCAGAGACGCTAAAGTTCACACGCGGGGAAAGACAAACAAGCTCGTGTCCGCAGTTTGTCATAAACACGCCTTAAAACCTTCCTTAAATCTTCTGCTTTGTGCTTTCAGACGAGGAGAAGCCGGTGCCAGCGGCTCGTAAAAGCACCGACTCCTAAAAGCCGGGGACTAGGTTAAAAAAACCGCCATAACGAATGGGAATAAATGGGCAAATCTGGAAAGTGACGCTTGTGTGTGTGTGTGTCGTTGTGTGTGTCGGCGTTTGTTTGTTGGACACCGGAGTTGACTAGAAGTCCCCGTTAACACTCAGATCTGTTATTTATGGCTGCCGTAGCAACCACCCGCAGTCCCCACAACCGTAAAGTCAAGCGTGAGGCTGGCCAGCATCCACAGAGTAGCATCGGTGTTCACTTCAGGGTAGAAAAATTGCAAATTACACACCAGGCAGAGCACTGCGCAAACCCGTCCGTGGAGACTTTTTAGCGTATTTGTGTGCATGAGAAGCATCGAAGCAATAACGACCCCCCCGTTTTAGGTTAGTCCGAATTTTCGCGACGAATGGGCAATCCCGCACAAAAAACATCAAGACGTTGCCAAAAACCTTCGTGCCATAGCTGACGATCGACTTGCATTTAAGCAATCCGCTCCTCTATCCCGTCCTGCAACCGTAGAGTAAATATATCTATAGATAGATACTTCTAACTTTATAGCCACAAAATGACGCCAAAAGGTGGCAAATTGAATCGGAAATCAAGCTGTCGGTGTGGCTGACAGCATGTGATTCTGGCCTTGTTTTTCTGTGTGTGTGTGTGTGTGCGTGTGTGTGTGTGTTCACGTTTGTTAGAACAAAACAGGAATCATCCCTTCAGATTTTGTGGGATTATTAAGAAGAAACCCTCGGACGAGCGTGAGGACGGGACCTCGATGAAGCACAGCCTCCGACGTGTGTGTGTCCACGTGTGTGTCCACATGCATGTGTGTGTGTGTTTGTACATCCGTGCACGTCCCCCTCATTAGCTAGCCGGCGGCCCCGTTAGCTCAGAGTCTTTCGCGGGGTCCCGAGGATGTGCAGAGAAACGAGAGACTGCTGTCTGCTAACTCAATAAAGAACACGTCTACGCCTAACCGCTGTTGTCAGTTATGTCGGGTTTATTGGACGTAATTTGAGAGTTTTTGATGCCAAACAAACCACGGAGCAGTTTGTGTCCCGTGAAGTGTGACAGCCAGGAAACCCCCCCCCCCTTCCCACGGCCCATGGCTCCTTCTCATTCTTCCCTTTAACTGAACAGAGGAACACAATAATTAAGAAATGACACAAGGCACAGAAAGGAGATTAAACAAAACAAAGTTTAAACAAAGTTTCTCACATAAAGCTTTCTGTAAGACTGAATTCTGAGAGTTAAAATACAAAAAAAATCATCAAGTTACAGTCAGTTTTGCACAGGGTTGGATCATTTCACATTATTTCTGCTCTGTAAAAGTACTTTTTGACCTTTTTTTGCGGTCTAAGTTTGCATTGTTTGGTTTTAGGATTGTAGAAAGGCTCCTGAACGGTGTTCAGACCCACTTTCCTGATCTGGATAACAGCTTTTTGAACATAACTTGAACGTACAGAAACATCTGCTTAACCTCCGGCAAAAAAAAACAAAAAAAAAAAACACACCAAGTCAAATACGTTGCGAGGGGTTAGCTTTAGACCAGTTGTCTGCAGACACCACCTGCTCACCCTGCTGCTGCCTTCTGCTCCAAACACCAGTTTAATCAAATAAAAAAAAGCAAATGTATCATTTTTTATTCATACGGTTTCTGAAGTCTTTTGGATCTAAGACTTTTTGCATCATTCAGTGGTAAAAGCTTTGCTCAAACCCCTGTTGTACACATTCAGATATACCTGATAACAGCCAGTAGAAGACTACACCAAAATATGTTTTTGACTTATTGCACGCTAATTTGATCAAAATAATAGCAGTTTTTTTTTCTTCATATGTTGTTGAGGGGCCAAAGAAAGACTTCAGACTAAAAAAATGCAATGTTCTTCCCATTTTTCTTGGATCAGGCTTTAAAGGGTTAAAACCACTCAAACAGACCTTAACCCTGTAATGCCAAATGTATCATATTTGATACATGCGTTTTCTGAAATGTTTTGCGTCTGACACCTTTTGCATAATTTAATGGTAAAAACTTAGCTCAAAATCCTATTGTACACAATCAGATACACCTGATAACAGGGGGCAGAAGACTACACAAATTATAATATTAACTTATCGCATAGTAATAAATCATTAATATTAAAAATGTATTTTTGTTTTTTCTCTTTACATATTTTGTTAAAAGGCCAAATAAGTCATTCAAACCAAAAAAAAGTAATTTTCTGTTTTGTTTTATTCTTGGATCAGGCTTTAAAGGGTTAAGGAGGAGGCCTTGCCATCTCCTCACCCTTTGAAACTCCAACAACGTGGAGCCTCCGACTCTGTTACATAAGACGTGGGACAGAAAATCAGGGTGAAAAGCAATAACACGTCCCGCTTCAAGCCAAACATGGATTTATTTACGCCGCACATTTAATTTAGCAAACAGATAACAGCTCGTTTCGTTATTATAAATAGCTCTCTTCACATCTCGTTCAGGGGAGGAGGAACGGGGCCTGGACCCCTCGGGGCGGGAAGGGATAAACATAAATGGGGGGGGGGTGATCGGGACCAAAAAGGAATGGGGGGGGGGGCTTTTATCGGAAGGCGTAGCTCTCATCGTCGTACTCCAGCTCGTTGTCGTTGTCCTCCCCCAGCTGGCCGTAGCGAAACTTCCTGTAGACGGTTCCGTCGTGGCCCATGTAGACGATATCCTCGTCATCCTCCTCATCCTCATCATCCTCGTCCTCCTTGTTTCCCGGGCGACGGCGGCGGCTGATGTCCACCATCTGGGTCTCCTGGAGGCGGCCTGATGAGGATGATGAACCCCCCCCGCCGAACCGCCCCCCCGAGCCCAGCTTCTCGTAGCCGCGGGGGGGCAGGTCCGAGGGCGTCTTCTTGGACAGGGAGTGCCGGACGAGGAAGACTACGGCCACCAGGCCCAGGGCCAGCAGCACGCAGGTGATGATGAAGACGGTCAGGCTGCCCCGCTCGCCCCCCCCCGCCTGCCCCCCCGTCCCCGAAGGCCAGGTTGGTGCTGAGGATGCACTCTCCTGTGGGGCGGGAAAAAGGGGACAGGATTCAGACCACTAAAACCAATGGTCACTCACTGGGATGTGGTCATTTATTTATTTATTTTTTTACACAGTTTTTTAAATTTATTTTTCCCCTTCCTTCTTCCTTCCCTCTTCCCTTCCCTTTCCCCGTAGCGAACATAAATCCCTGTATTAACATAACAAAACAAAAACAGGACCAAATAGGTATAATTACATTTTTAAAAAAAAAAGAATAATTAAATAAAATAAAATAAAATAAAATAAAATAAATAAATAAATAAATAAATAAATAAATAAATA